ATGTGACTCGCTGACGCAACAATAGTTTCCTCTGTTTGTCCTTGAAGTGATTCAAATAACATGGCGTGTCAATAGTTTCCTCTGTTTGTCCTGTGAAGTGATTCAAATAACATGGTGTGTCAATACCTTTCTCTGTTTGTCCTATGAAGTGATTCAGTTAACATGGCGTGTCAATAGGTTCCTCTGTTTGTCATGTGAAGTGATTCAAGTAACACGGTGTGTCAATAGCCTCCGTTGTTTGTCGTGGTAAAACCGATTCAATTTATGCGAGGTGAAAAGATAATTTCTAGCGGTTAAAAGCAATTAAAATCAAATGTGTTACAATTACTAAAAAGTTTTTCTCCAGTGAAACAATATATAACAAATCTGATAGACTATTGTTCCTTTTTTATTATTTCATATAAAAGGTTTTCTCTAGTGAGGTCAGTGCTAAGGAGGAACAATAACTGAGATTTAAAGGATCATTTTCTTTTTCTATGACCTTAGTTCTGCTGCACACTGTGTACCTCGATTCTGTTCTGTTTCCAGATAGTAGAAATGAAAGCAAAGCGTGATACTGATTTTGATTTTAAATTGTGGCTAATTATGCTTGAAGTTGTAAACGTGCATTTTTGTTTTTGCTGTGGAGGTGTCCGCAATGAACACTAATTCATTGAAAATCGGGATTTCCCAGCGAGCCGTTCGAGGGCAACCTCGTGCTCATCGGAATTCAACCAACACTATATAACATTCTGTACTCTTAGGTTTAACACATGATCCTCGAGTGAGAAGTAGATCGGAAACTAGGTAAGTAGTTATTAATTGTTATTATTACAGTTGATTTAAGAAATATATATATTTTTTTACTTCTATTACAGGCAAGTTTGCTTCAAACGTGAATAAAACACGAAAATAATTGAATGACATAATTAAAATCTGTGGAGACTACATACATTTATTTACTTATGTCCAAGAAGGAAAATATAATTCATTATTTGATAGTTAAGCAATTTGTTTGTTATATACACTAAAAGAAAAAAAAATACTCATGCTATCTTTAGGGTTAGAACAGTTTTATCCTCATATTCAACGTTTCAAGTCCGTTAAAAACTTGCTTCCTGCAACGCTATATTTTTCTGTGTTTCGAATGTAAACAAGAGACTTTGTGTGTAACCCAGATTTGTCACATTTAAAAGCTACACACGCGCGATAAATGTGTAATTATCTAGCTCAATGTATACAAGTTTAACTAATAGAAACCGTTTTAACTTGTTTGTTTGTTTTAAAACAAAGCCACATTGGGCTATCTGCTGTGTCCACCGCAAGGAATCGAACCGTGGTTTTTAGGATCACAAGTCCATAGACTTGTCTCTGTTCCGCCGAAGGACACCGTTTTAGCACACATTGACTAGAAATGCCGATTCACCTATGTTGAAACAGAAAAAATAAATCACGTGTTTAAAGCTAAGAAAAACACGTTCTGAAACTGCAGGTGAATTTTACGTATAATTTCTTCATTTTATTCCTCTATCGAAATTTCATGTTTAAGCTATTTGAACGGTGATCAATATTTTATTACATTCCTTCATTTTCTTCAAGACCATTTAAAAAACATCTATATAAAATTAAGAATCAACAAATAAATTAATATTTTATTTCAAATTTTCATGCAAACATGCTATCATAAAGTCAAAATATGCTCAATTTTTCGTCACTAACTAAGTATTTCCTGATCTGTTAGACGAGTTTATCTTATATTTTTATAGGCCTAGAGCGTCATCATATGGAATTTTATCTGTAGGTAGATGGGGAAAGGACGGACTTGTCAAAACTGAAAATATGGTTTTATACGTAATACGTGAGTTCACCAATGCTAGAAACCCGAAAAATAAAAACCTGAAACGAATTAATCATGACAGGAAGCTACGTCATACACTCGCAATGACTAATTTGCGTAGTCATTATATAAATAGGTAATACATTAATACAACTTACACTGATTATAAATATAAATATTTACAACATGTGCAAGTATGTACTTTATGAAATCGTGATTTTCATTAATATATGTAAACAAAATATATATACACGTTACGTCACTGAAACCTTAAAATTTTTGTACGCCAAAATGAAGAACATTATTCTGAGCTCCTGAAATAGGCCTACGTTGAGTGGAACTTGCGTGTTTTTTACTCCAACACTGTCGTTTTTCTACAAAAAGAGATTTGTTGTACGAAATTACACTGGGTTAGAAATTAGTTTCTTTATCTATCTAAATGGTCATGATCATACTGCACTCTTACAACAGGGGCGATTCTAGTGTTTCATGATTTGTGGGAAAATGGGTAACGTTGGGTCCTTGGGTGTTACTACTTAAGAAAACGAACACGTTTACAGGGACCTCTCTGACAATGATTTGGATACTCGTTGAAGATATTTTCTTCATTTTTTTGGAGGGAGGGGGCGCTCAGTGTCATTTTAGGTTTTGGGTGTTGTTAAGCACAAAGCTACACAATAGGCTATCCGCCTACTACGGGTATCGAAACCCGATTTTCAGCGTCGTAAGCCTGAGACTTACCGCTGAGCCACTGAGGGATAGGGGGTATAAGAAGTTTGTTTTGTTTATTGCTATGTACAAAGCTACACAAGGGGCTATGTGAGTTATGCTCACCACGGGTATCAAAATTCGGTTTTTAGCTTTATAAGCCTTCAGGCTTGTCTCTGGGAGCGGATCGCTTGGTTTGCTCTCCAAGTAATTCTTTCGCACAATATAAAATATATAAATTGAAATCATAAGCACCTTTAAGAATGAAACAACATTTCTAAAAGAATAGTAATCAATGTTTTCTTATTGATACATATTATCTTTATTATAAGCGTGTTCGAAGACATGCTTATTTGATATTTTTCTTCTTTCTTTTGTCACTAAACCTTAGCAAATTTAGTTCTATCTTATAGAAAATGAAAGATATACAGTTGACTGCAAATAAATTTGATAAATAACACAAGATGTAAACGTTGTGATTAGCAACGCTTGTTGGTTATTTAGTTTACAATCTTCAAAGGTATTCCCGTGAAGTGAAGTAACCATAGAAACGTTAGGTTTACGGCTATCAAGGGTGTTGAGATGAAGTTTTGTAACCATAGAAATTTTAGGTTTACGAGTATCAAGTAGTTGATGTGAAGTTTTGTAACCATAGGAACGTTAGGTTTACTTCTCCATCTTTTGTGTCTTTCACATCTAAGAGGTTTTTCATTACGTACTTAACGGTATTTACAGCCACCAGGTGTAGTGATGTTTCCGGGGGCGTATTTGTCTCAGTGTAGACTGCATAGTGAACTAGTGGTTCCTTTACCTGGGCTGTTAATTAAACAGGTTACGTTTATTCAAATTGAATGCTATAATTTTGAAACTGTGAGGGTTATTTATATTTTAATTGTTAAAGTTTGATGTTTATAGTCTTGTTTCATTAAGCGTGTTTTTACTCAGCCATGACTTCAATTATTCATTGATTTTGTTATTGCTAGGCCTCATATGATAGGAATCAAGTCAAGTAGATAGCAAAGTGAAAAATTCGGACACGTTTATAAAGGTTGAAACTATTAAAAAGCAAAATAAGTAAC